CCAACAATTTGAAAACGTTGAGGGACCAAATATATTAAGATGGAAACATCAAGCCAGCACCAAAATTGATCATTTTCCCAATTTTTCTCTTTTTCATTACCGTTATTAATATGTTTAAACCACAAAGCCCAAATGTCAAAATCTAAAAAAAAATGCTCAAATGTCATGCTCGTCACCACATTCAATCCAACAAAACCTGATTTTTGACAATTAAAATCCAACCTTTCCCCCAAAAGTACAAAGATCTTATTATAGGCCAAAAACATTTTTTAACAGGATATATCATAGGCTCATAGCTAACTGAAAATTTGAAACAAATTATCAAAATCTCAAACTAAAGCAATATTTAAGAACACTAATAATTGAGTCCAATCCAATTCTAATAAAGAGCAAAGCAAAACCAGAAAAATAGAAAGGAGATAGAAAGAAAAAAGGGATAATTCTCAGCCGTCGATTTGTAACCCTGCGGATACACGAATCTTGACCATTGATCAATCTTTCTCATGAAAAGAATCCGCCCAGAACGCGAGATTCTGATCCGACGGGCAGAATGACATCCTCCTCTGCATCTTCAGCCCGCAGAGCAACCCACCGCCGTCAGATGATTTCTGCCCCTTCCCATTTCCCGCCAATTCCCGGACACAGTTCCACTCCTTCAGCGCCGTCGAGGCGGCGGACGAGGACGACGACGTCGAGTCTGTGCCGTCGGAATAGTCGCAGGACTCCCCGCCGGAGGACCGCAGGCTCCGCCTCAACCCGCCGCGGCTCAGCCGCCGCAGCCTGCGCTCGTTCTTCTCCACCAGATCGCGGAAGCTAACCGCCGCCTCCCTCTCCAGGGCCGGGTACTGCGAGGAGTGGTACGCCGCCGCGGCTATGTTGAGCACGCCCTGGAACCTGCCGGAAGGGCGGCGGATCTGGACGGCGGTGAACGCTGGCGTCCCCGCGTGCGCCCCCGCATGCGGCGCGGATCTCTTGAGGCACGTGCTGAGGAGGAATCGGACGGTACCGATCAGGAAGTCCTTGATGTAGCCGACGGCGAAGATCTCGACAGCTACGGCGGAGGTGTCGCCGTACGCGAATTCTTCGGAGACTCGGAAGAGGAACTTGTCGTTCCAGGAGGGGTTTTCGCCGCCGAGGGAGTCGACGCGGGTCCGGAGCTTCTTCTCCGGGTGGATCCAGGTGACGGCGTAGGTTTGAAGCCGGCGCAGGTTTGCGGAAAGGGGCTTCAATCCCTGGGCGGAGATGAGATTGATCTCCAGAATCAGCGGCTCCATGCCCGTAGTTTAAATTCTCTCGGTAAAAGCCTAAAACACTCTGTCTATGTAAGCGCATATTATAGCCATTTGAGCTCAAGAGACGAATGAATTCAAGAAAATTTTGACTAGAGAGAGAGAGAGAGACAGACCTGAGCGCAGGCCGTTGGGATTTGGGAACGACGGTGAAAAGCGAAAAGACTAATATAGCCCTGGAAGTTGGTTAAGAGGGCTTTGTAGGGAGAGAGAGACTTGTTTAAGTAGGGGTTAACAATGGGACAACCAAATATAGCTAGGTTCCACTCGTCTGGAAACCACTAATAAGCAATAAATGTTATTTCTTGATATATTATTCAAAGATAATAGTACTAATAATCAAAGATAATAATAATGAAAATAATATCTTAACCTCAAATTCTATACATAAGGGTAAAATCTGAAGCCCAAGCGACCATTCCAAAATACACCGAGCTAGTGGAGTGGATGAAACATTTTATTGAATTTCATTATTTACTATGATGATACACAAGTTTACAGGACACGAGACAAAACTCACACATACACAAAACATGCATTCATCCCTTAACACCATCATCTTAAATTAGCACATGGCCAGTTTACTTGTCCTCGAGTGCAACAAGGGATCTCATCTTGCTATTCTTGCGGTGGCTCACCTTCACTTTCCTTTTCTTCGACAGTTTCCTCTCCAAATCCTTCACTCTCCCAGTAAGAGTGGAAATGGCCGCAAGCTGTTCTTGTCCTGACTGGATCAACTTCTCCATTATGCCCCTCAGCCTCTCATTCTCCTCAATCAGCTTCATTTTGCCCTCCATCGAATCATCTTCAACTTTATCAAGCATGTCAGTTGCCTTGTTAGCCGATTCCTTTTCAGCCATGTCTGTAGCTTCAATCATCATATTTTGCTCCGGAACTACAAATTGCTCAGCTACTGCAGCAATCACTTCAGGCTCAGATTTCTCGTCTTCGATTTTGATATCCACCGATTCAAGACTAGTGTTGATTTCACTGACTGGAAGAACTTCGTCATTAACTTCGTGAATTTCTTTGTCAGTGGCATCATCGTGTGATTCTAGAGCTTTGTCTATTGCCTCTTCCTCCTCTGGCAGCTCTTCCTGACAGGCTGTCTTCACATCTGTAACGTCCAATTTCTGACTTGAGCTTTCCTGAACACACAGATCATCAACAATTCCTAATGGAAGCTCATCAAGTACAGTATCAAGCTTGTCGACCTCAGACTGCACAAAATCTGTTATTTTCTCTGAAGGCTCTTCCGTGACTGGAATTTCCGATACATTTTCTTGAAATAATATCTCGCGATTGTCCTCATTTTCACCCCTTACATTGCTCAACTTGCCTTCATCTTCAATAATCTTCTCATTTTCAGCCATTTCATTGCTCAACTTGTCTTCATCTTCAATAATATTCTCGTCTCCCTTTTTGAGTTTCTCCTCGGACTCTGCTTGGTCCAGATTCGTAACTGGAATTTGCGAGTTTTCAGGGTTTAATTCTTCGCCATCAGGCTGGTTTTGAGCTGCCACTGGTGCATCAGATGTGGTGTTGTTGCCATCATTGGACAAGTTAACATCCACCTCAGTTTTGTTGGAAGCAACTTCTGTGGATTTCAGGTTTGATTCTTCTTGAGGTGGATGTTCTGTTTTTTCGTTCACTAACGAGTCGAGCTTCTCTTGAAGATTCACGAGCTCTTTCACGACGTATTTTCTGACCTCCCTGACACTAGGATGCAATCCCTGGACATAATGAGGAACAAATAGCAAAAGAGATGTTAGCTATCATCACTTCATCCTTGTGACTGGCAGCTTCAATTGAATGTGTTCACTTGCACGCACATAATATGAAGACCACTTCCAACAACATAAGGTTTCATGAGTTCAAAATTTCCAGTGTTTTAATACAGATGTTAATTACTACATAGAAAAAGACACGATTAATGAAGCAAAATGTCCCTTTCATAACAACAATAAGAACAATAAATAGCACAAGATCCATTACATAGTGAATACCATGACACTGACTTAAGGCAGGTCCTTAAATTTCATGCTATTATATGGACAAGTTATTAGTTTAGCTATAAAAATCATTGAAACCAGAGTAACAGAAATTAATTGTAATCTGCACCTATGAAAGGAAGAATGAAAATAATAGACGAGAAAATGTTCCACTGCATATTGAAAATCCAAAACCTTTTCATTCGAGTTCATTCACGTACCTGAATGGTATCCACTTTTAGCAGGAGGCTCATTATAGTTTCGGAAATAATGTTCCTTCGTTTGCCACGGCCATGGACATCAGGACATGCCTCCATTTCCTGAATCATATTCTTCACATGATTTATCTGCTCTTGCACTTTGGCAATCTGTTTCAACTTCTTAATGGGCTCCCACCTCCGAACATCAAACCCCCGGTATGCCGACTGAATAAGGACAGCTGCTTCCTCTTCACAAAATTTTCTCTTACTGATCACCTTTGCCTCATCTACCTCTTTCATCCCGCTGCCAGATTCAGCATTTTCTGATTGACCTTTAACAGCATCAGTTTCGGTCGGAACACGAGAAATATCATCCTCTTTAGGCACTTCCTCAGGTCTCTTGCTCGAAAAACCATCCTCAGATTTAACGGGGATTATCAGAGGATTTCCATTGTTCACATCCACATTCTTCAGTTCTCCTCCATTAACAACCTCAACTGATTTTGTGTTCTTGCCCTCAGTGAAATCCTTGGTAGGTTCCTTCTCCACTTTTACCTTGTCTGATGTGGTAAAAGCCTTGCTTTTTTCCTCATTGGACCTCAAATCAGGCTTTTGTCCGTCACCAGGAGGACTCGGAGATCTTGAACTTCCATTTTCAGCTTTTCTCCTCGGCAAGGGATCAACTCTAAGACAGACAGGCGGCAACTTGGGTGATTTAGGTGGAGAAACCGATTTCATCATTTTCACGTTATCCTTAGATAAATTCTCCTCATTCTCCACCTTCTTTTCACCATGATGAATACCTTCCTTCACTCTTTCCTTCACCTGGTTTTCCAAACTCTCATTTTCTTTGTGCTTTTCCGCTTCCTTAACCTTAATTTCTTTCACCCTGGGAGCATCTTGCCCGCCACTATCTTCTCCCATCAAGTGAAACCTCTTATCCGAATCCACGCTTGGTTTTGCGTTCAAACAGTTCACCTCATTTTTCCCCATTTCCTTCTCGGCCTCTCCCGGTTTATATGGTATCCAAAACAACGGAAATGGGAAATGCCCTTTCTTCCTTTCCTCATCCCCTATCTGCTTATTGGAAGAACCCAAATTACTCAAATCAAGCGGGAACCATCCATTTTCCTCACCATCTTTCCAAACCACTCGATTATCATACTTACCATCACTATCCTTATCCTCCTTCACCTGCTTGTTCTTGCTATTATAATCAGATGGAACCCACACGATCGGATAAGATCCATTCTTCAACAGGGAATCATTTCTCCTCCTTTCCCCCTCCCATTCTTCCTCCTCAATCCTAGAATTACCCGGCTGTTCTTTCTTATGGGACATGTGATTCGGACACCCACAACAATGATTAACACCCATACTCGCATTCTTATCATATTCATACCGAGGTTGTTCCATTGGGTAAAACGGTGGGTGATGATAAGGAGGAGGAGTAGGCATGTACTGAACCGGGAAAGAAAGATAATTTACGGGAAAATGATAAGGGTGAGGGTTACAGCAGCCGTGGCATTCGAGCGGGGGCTGGTAACCATAGTTAGGCCCCCAAGGAAAGTAACCATAGTTTACAGGAGGCAGAGGTGGAATTGGTTGGGGTCCGTGGTGGAATTGGAAATGGGGGTTATAGTGGATTTGATCTCTTTGGTGGGGGTATGTGTGAATGTTTCTGTATGCTGTGTCCATCTTCTCCGGTTAGGGAAAATTGAGACCTTGGAGTGTGGATGTGTTCTGCCTACAGAGCAAAAGAGCAGATATATTCAGTGAGATTGAATATGAATATAGCATAGCAGTCAAAACGCAATAATTGTATGGGCAAACAATGGCGAATCGAGAAGAAAGTGAGAATACGGAGCATTTTAGACCTAAATTAAGGCGTCTAATTCGAATTCCAATGGTGCTACTAATCCACAATATTCTAAACCTGATGTCCAGTAATTACACATCCTCTCGTCACCATATCTAAATGATAACAGTCTCAATAGAGCAGCAGAAATCAAACAATTGCCATATGTTTAACAAATAAAACATTCACAGAGAAGAATAAGAAGAAGAAAACGACTTACAGTTACTAGAAATATAACAAGAAGACGACGAACTAAATGTAATCCCTCCGAACGATCCGCAAATCCCAATGACTGAGCTTCCGGTGCAAAAATCCGTTCCACAAACCCTAGAAGAAAAATTTTACTTCTTGTCGAGCGCTCTTGTTTCTTTGTTGCACAGATTACGTTTGAGACGATAGAATTCAAAAGCTCGGGGACTTAAATACTTTTTTTTTTCTAATGACGATGGTTTTCGGACTTTAGAAATGTTCGACGGATTTCCAGAGCTTTCCCGCGTTTTCAACGCTCGAATGGTCTAGAAATTTGTATTATAGTCCTGCCACGTGTGATGGAGGCGGAGTTTGAGGGCTGATATGGTGTGTGCCGGCGTACTGAAGGAAGTGTGTTTGCCGACATGTTGGGACTTTTGTTATATGACTTGACGAATTTTAATTGGTCGAGGCCTACGTTATGCATAAGAAACGATTCTAGTGATTTGGAATTGGAGAAAAATAGCACACTGAACCCATGTCTTGCTTTGTTGTCTATCTCGGATTGTGGTCTCTCTCCATCCTTGAACCTTCTTGGGGGCCCAGATTTGGGTCCGAGTTTTTTCTTCTAGCTAAATCTGGCTAGCCGTACGAGTCAAGTTTGGAGTTTTTAGCTCTGGGGTCTTAGATCGAAAGTTCTCATTGTGTTTTTAGTTTTGGGGACAGGTTGATGTGTTGGGTTGTGTGACAATTGTCGTGGCTCGCAAGAAGTAGGGAAGCTTTATTTTATTTTTTAGTCTCTTGTTTGGTGTTTTAGTTTTTCTGCGTTTTGTTTTTTGTTGTTAGTTGTTAAGTCTCGTTTTGTGGGAGTGTTTTTTCTCCATTTGGAGTGTTGTTTTCTCCCTTTTTGGAGCTTTGTTTGTGTGTTTGTGTGTGTACTTTGTTGTCTAGTCACTTTATAAGGGGAGTGTACCTTATGTCCCAAGTTGGCTTGTCCAATAGCATCATGCCACGTGTCCTAGCCATGTGTAGGCTTATTCTTCAATATATTCCCTTTTTATCCATTAAACCCGGTCTAGTATAATATCCTATATTATCTAGTCTTCCCACTCTGGTCGAGTAAGCATGACTCGATCCAAGAGTGAAATTCCTCTTCGAGCTGTTTCCGTCAACCTGCCACTGAGGTTATAATTTGAATAAATCATCGATCGTCAAATAGTCACCAAACCTCCAAATGAGCATCGGGACCCCAAATGAACACCAAATGACCACTAAGGTCAGAAACCGAAAGACCCGCTACTGGGTCGAATACCGAAAGCTGAACAGCTAGTGAGGTCGAAAATCGAATGACCCGCCACTGGGGTCGAACACCAAAAGTCGAACGACCACTTAGGTCGAAAACCGAGAGACCCGCCACTGGGGTCGAACACCGGAAGCTGAACGACCAGTGAGGTCGAAAACCAAATGACCCGCCACTGGGGTCGAACACCAAAAATCGAGAGACCGTTGAGGTTGAAAACCGAAAACCGATAGACCACCGAGGTAGAAAACCAAAAATTGAGATACCACTGAGGTCGAAAACTGAGAACCGAGACACCACTGAGGTCGAAAACCAAAAATCGAGATACCACTGAGGTCGAAAACTGAGTGACCACCGATGAGGTCAAAAACTGAGAATTGAATGACCACTGATGAGGTCGAAAACCGAAGTCTTGAATTTAAAATTTGAACTTACGTCTTGTTGTTTTTCGATCACCATGTTCGAGCTCTCTTCATTCAAAGATAAAACTTTCCTACCACCTCGTCCTATCATCGCCCCCTCAGTTCAAAATTTGAAATTCCACCCTGCTGTTTATCCTCTCGAAAACCGAATGTCCTGACACCACACCGAAGTCGAAAGCCGAATTTCGACAAAACCAAATAAAATCATCAACCTGAATAACTTGACTCCATGAACTGCTCCGAGTGAACTCCCTCGACCTACCTCGGAGGTCGAAAAATAAATTCGACAAAACCAAAATCAAGTAAAAATCATCGACCTGCCACCGAGGTCCTCGAATAATCTCCACGAATTGCGCCAAATAAACTCCCTCGACCTACATCGGAGGTTGAAAACTAAATTCGACATAACCAAAATCAAATAAAGATCATCAACCTACTACCGAAGTCTGCAAATAAACTTCCTGAGTTGCTCGAAATGAACCTCCTCGACCTGCCACTGAGGTCGAAAAACAAATTCGACATAACCAAAATCAAATAAACATCATCGACCCACCACCGAGGTCTGCAAATAAACTGCCCGAGTTGCTCGAAATGAACTTCCTAGACCTACCACTGAGGTCGAAAAACAAATTCGACATAGCCAAAATCAAATAAAGGTCATCGACCTACCACCGAGGTCTGCAAATAAACTCCCTGAGTTGCTCGAAATGAACTTACTCGACTTGCCACTGAGGTCGAAAAACAAATTCGACATAGCCAAAATCAAATAAAGATCATCGACCTACCACCGAGGTCTGCAAATAAACTCCCTGAGTTGCTCGAAATGAACTTTCTCGACCCGCCACTGAGGTCGAAAAATAAATTTGACATAACCAAATCAAATAAAGATCATCGACCTACCACCGAGGTCTGCAAATAAACTCTCTGTCTTCACCGACCCAATACTAGGATCGACCACCCAGCCTGAAGGCCTTAGTCATGGTGGAATTTTTTTCTTCGAACACATGTCCACCCTCGAAGGAGTGGTCGTTACATGTGACCACCCAGCCCGGAGGCGTTAGTCATGGTGGATTTTTTATCTTCGAACACATGTCCACCCTCGAAGGAGTGGTCGTTACATGTGACCACCCAGCCCAGAGGCCTTAGTCATGGTGGATTTTTTGTCTTCGAACACATGTCCACCCTCGAAGGAGTGGTCGTTACATGTGACCACCCAGCCTGGAGGCCTTAGTCATGGTGAATTTTTTGTCTTCAAAAGCATGTCCACCTTCGAAGGAGTGGTCGTTACATGTGACCACCCAGCCCGGAGGCCTTAATCATGGTGGATTTTTTGTCTTCAAACACATGTCATGTTGGGGACTCCAATAATAATTACTCGATTTACCTCCCCACGTTTAAGATATAATGTCCATTAATTAATTCGATTACTGACAATCAAAAATTAATTAATTTATTATTATTTCACCGAAGCTAGCGCTCGTCCATCACATTTTTATTATGCCGGAACTTAATCCACCTGCAGGGTTTAGCATAACAATCCTTCATGAACTCACTCCGGGGACATCATCAAACTAACGCACATGGTGACCGTAAATATCCTAACAGTACATCCTATATATAATAATATTACCCAAAACAGTAAGAATATTAATCCACCGAACTGAACCTCACCCATGTGAATAAAAGTAATATATATTATATATATCTGCCTGTTTAATATCTTACGGGTTAAGAGAACGCAGTAATTAACCGAGGCCTAGTTCATTTACGACGTTCAGTATAAAATGAACTTCTCCTCTCTGGGATCCTGTTCAATACATAAATGTACTAGTGCAACTAATCAGTCAAGACAAACTGTACAGTTGACACTACAACCGTTCGGATGGGGTGTTCATGTCCATCTAGGTTGTGAACAATTATTTTTGTTTGCAAGTGACTGATAGAGTGATCTTCGGTTCGCCCGATGATGACCCACCCTATCTAAGTGCAGAACAACAAAACGTAGAACTTGTTTAATCTAACATGATTCTCATTCATAAAGGGTAAATGTGTAATAACATGCAAAGCCAAGCTTTCAGTATATAACACTAACATGTCCACCCTCGAAGGAGTGGTTGTTACATGTGACCACCCAGCCCAGAGGCCTTAGTCATGGTGGATTTTTTTCTTCAAATTGCTCGAGCACTTCGACCTGCCACTAAGGTCAACAAGAAAACACACCAAACACCACGAGATAGAATAGTAGTTGATCATTTTTGTTAGTCCCATCAAATGCATAGTAATATCGAACAAGATATAAAAATAAACAGAATCAAACATTTTTTCGACCTCCCTTTCCTGTCTGTACACGATGACTTGAGTTGTTGCTTGCTCCATGCTTTCCACTCCTCACCATGACCAGTATCCAGTTCACCTGTTCATGCATTTTCCTCAGCAAGAATTCAACATATTCCATTAGTCGTATTTTATCCACATCATCCAATTTGCAATCCCGATAGCGATATTAACAAGAGATGAATAAATCAAAACAATCATATTGGTCCATATGCTTTTATACCACACCTCAATCTACATGAAAACCTCTTTACCACGATATGAAATCGCATAAACACCCACTCAAATGTATAGTCGACCACTATTTTGCAAAACCATGAATTCGACAACCAATTACAACAAACCATACTCTGCAGCTACAAAAAATCATTAAACGAATGCACCAAACAAAAATTCAAATGAGTTACTCCCAATATCGAGCTCCTTAGTCATGACGACTCGAGACTGACCAGCCCGAAGGCCTTAGTCATGCCAGATTCATGTTCAAGGCTCCACGTACACCTCATTTTCTGTATTTTGTTAGTCACTTGAATAATAATTCCAAACATATCCATATACACCACAATCTCAGCAATATTTCGCCTAAAATATTCAAACAATGAACATTACTCCAAAAAAGAATGCTAAGAGACTCAATGTTTCATTATATTGAGTCGGCCGAACTTGACCACTCACAAGAGTTGGGATTAATTTTTATACCTGAAAGTCCAGCATGCCCCTTTCAATTATCCTACCTCTCCAAAAGAGAATGATTTCTGCCTTTGAAATTGCCACTTGTGATCGGCACCATCCAAACTCGTCCCTCATTATCACCCTGCTTTGATGGATCCATGCTCGCTCATTTTGTCCTCGAAACTCCACAACTCGTCCACCATAGCTTGTCGAGACTCGGGTTATTACGATGTTTCCTCGACAAGAATTCAAAGAGATACTATTATCCACATTATATTCACGTCATCCATGTTGCAATTTTTCACGCAAGAAAAACAAGAGATCAAATACAAACATCACCATCTCCTCGATTTAAGACATGATCGAGCAATGACATGCTTAAAAATTATGAATAGTCAATTCAAACACAATCACAAGATATCCGCAATTCGAAACCACGACCCGCATTTATTTTCAATCAAATGAATTCTCCGCGAATAAATCAAATAATATCTCCACGAATAAGTCAAACAATATCTCAACGAGTAAATCAAATAATTCCACGATCAAATCGAATATCACCACGAGTAAATCAAATAATTCCACGATTAAATCGAATATCACCACGAGCAAATCAAATAATTCAACGAGCGAATTAGATATAACCACGAGCAAATCAAATAATTCCATGATCGAATTCAATATCACTACGAACAAATCAAATATCTTCAGGAATAAATCACATAATCTCCTCGAGTAAATCGAATAAGGTAGGCAGGAGAGACGGTTAGAGCTCCACAAATATCCAATAATACTCTACCAACAAATCAAATAGGCTCCATGGATAAATCAAGTAAGTTTGCCCGAATAAATCGAATATATTCTCCACGAATATATCAAATAAACTCCACGAATATATTAAATATTCTCCACGAATATATCAAATAATTCTACTCGAATAAATCATATAAGTCCACAAACGAATCCAATAATTCCTCGAATATATCAAATATGCTACATATATAAGTCAAATAATGTTCCACAAATAAATTGAATAGTCTCCACGAGCATATCGCATATTTTCCACGAATAAATCAAACAATCTCCACGAATCAATCAAATATTCTTCATGAATGTATCACATTTAAATCCTCAAGTCTCCAAATTTTCCAATTTAAATTAGCCACATACCTTTATCATGAAAATGCTATCTCAAATTAGCTCACCGTCCACCTCGTATCGTTTCGGACTCACCATGACTCCCGGACCCTTGTTCAACCATCTGAAGGTCAAGCTGGAAGGCCTAGGGGCGCAGTGCAATCGCTGGGCTGAGCTATACGCTTGTTGGGCTCTAAATGGGATGCATACGGACACTGGGCCGTGTGGTTGAGAGTTGGGCCGTCATATTGGGCCTGGTAGAAGGCTGAAACCAGCGCAGGCTGATGGCTGGGCTCGCGGGCCAGATGCAGTGAGATAAGCGGGCTGAGCCTTGGCCTCGCGCGGGCCACATGCAGGCTATATGCGGGCTAAGGCTGTGAGGGCTGCGGGCCGTCGCGGGCTAGAGATGGCTCGCGAATTTTTTCTCTCCGCTTTCGCGAACTGGGTTGGGGTGCAGATGTTGGGCCCCCCATGTTAAGCCACGGGCTGAACGCTAGACCACCTCGTGGGACAAGCAGCGGGCTGCTGGAGTACAAATTCGGGCCTCCCTCGCTGGGCCACGGGTTGCTGGGAATGAGAACATTGACGGCTGCAACTTTGCCGGAAAAAGACGTCGGCTCCGACGAATTCCACCGACCGTAGGTGCGCCTTGGCGAGGGCATTTCGATCGTGTCCTCGATTAAGAGTGGTTCACCGGAAATAGCCGGAAAATTGAAGAAGATGACCGGAGCTTGACCCATAATTTTCTAGATCTAATAACTTTGACCGGCAAATCGACGGCCTTCCGCTTGGAATTTTCTCTTAATATTTTAAGGGTAGAACGAGCACAAAAAGAGCTTCGTGATGATGAAAAGATTTTCCAGATTGGAGGATTCTTCGTGGCGGCGGAGGCGGCGGCGGCCGACGGCGGCGCTGGCGAAGGTCACATGCTGGAGACTCGTCTCGACGAGAGGATTCCAATGGTGCTCCCAGATTTTTCATAGCCCTCAGGATCGCCAGAAAAACGCATTTGAAGGTCGAATGTTGACCAAAATTTCTTAGATCCGGAATTTGACCGGCCAAATCGAAGGCCTTTCTGGATGAATTTTCGCATGAGATTTTAAGGGAAGATTCACCTCGACGAGATCTACCCGTTGACGTAAACATTTTTACGATCCGAGCCCCTTGGCCGACAAAGTCGAAGGAGGATTTTTGTAATTTTTCGATTGGAACTCAGTTTGGCTTTTTGAACGGGTCCCACAGACGGCGTCAATGAAGTGAATAAGATTTCAGCCAGGCTCCTTCAACTCGAACGGCCACCAGACCTGCAAGAACCCAACGCCGGGAAGGGTCTCGGCGTCGGGCCTCCGACGCTCAAGTAAGTATCACTCCAAATCCCAAGAGTATAATTATGAATGTAGAGAGAATGAGAGAATGGGATACCTTAGGCCCTTTTTATAGGAAGAGTGTACCTTATGGCCCAATTTGGGCTTGTCCAATAGCATCATGCCACGTGTCCTAGCCATGTGTAGGCTTATTCTTCAATATATTTCCTTTTTATCCATTAAATCCGGTCTAGTATAATATCCTATATCAGATTGATAGTTAAATTATGTGAACGGATGTATAATAAATTAAAATTGATGTAATTTGTAAGTAGACGTGGCTAAGCCCCAGCTTCCGGCTGAGGTTTGGAGAGCTCTGAATCGGGCTGAACTTATGCACGGGTCGGTTCATTGAACCTGCTGTTCCACTGAACTCTCCTGTTCACTGAACTACCCGACCCAATTCAATTAAAAATTTAAAAAAAATTAAAAATTTCAAACTGTCGGTTTCAGTTTCGATCCGGGTTCAAATCGACCCGACAGTTCAAAATTTACAAATAAGTGGCCTGGAACCAGCCCGGTCAATAACGGGCTCCATTATAGCCCTGTTGATACGGGCCGAACAAACGGTCATGTCTATTTGTGATAATGGTAGATTTTTATTATTTAATTATATTAATAATATTTAGAATGGTCAGGTTAAGTTAAATTTAGATTGTGAGTTAAAAAAAATATTAGAAGTGACCACAAAATGTATATCCAATCACCCCTTACTGACCTTATAAAATTATTTTCTATTATTAATTATATATTTTTTTTTTTACAAACGAAAATGATAGTATTATAACTCGATAAGAGTACAACAGGATAACCAACGGGTTATAGTACAACGGGAGAAGCACCTCAGTGTTCACCCTCAAGAGCCAACTTGGCTAGAGTATAACTAGGAGAGGAGAAAGAAGAAAGCTTAAACACACACGACTCAAATGACAAGCATACCAAACTAATGTCTTCTAGAACTACATTATTATTACATAGACCCATATGCAGATTGTTTAAACGATGTAGCACACATTTGAGAGACACAGTACAAACAATATGCATTCACCCTTCAAATATTGCTTTTTTCAGCACCCATCTCACAGCCAGCAATGTAGCCTCCTCAGAACGTGCCATCCCATGCCATGTTGTCTGCCATTCATGCAATAATCTCCCCTCAGAATAAATTGCAGCCCCAAATCCCACCACACCTTTTGAAGATCCCTGAGCACTGACAGAAAGAAGAAGCTACCCTACTCCCTTGGAAAAGTGGTCTTCAACAGGGCTGTTGGCATCACAAGGCTGACTCTGAACTTGAAGTTTCTTAGGTTGTGCAGATAAGAACTCCCACATATCCTTTCTAGCCCCCTCAACCAATATCACCTCAGACACAAGCTCCTGCTCAAACTTCCATTTGTTCCTGGAACACCAAATCCTCCACATAAGGTAAGCTTATAAGAAAATCCTGTCTTATATTGCATAGATGTCTTTTGTAGTGCAGATTTCTTTCCACCAACTTTGAAAAGAGCACCCATTCATTTCCAATGCTGACTAAGATATGCCCACTAATTTCCAGCATAGCTTTGCCATAGAACAAAAGAACAGCATATGGTCTAATTCTGCATTCTCTTCACCACAAAAACCACAAATAGGATCCACCTTCATCCCTATCTTCAAGAGATTCATATTGGTGTTCACAAGGCCCTGGTAACATCTCCATAAGAAATTCCTGACCTTTCTTTTGATAGACAGTTTCCAAGTCCTCTGCCATTTGGTTATTTGAAAATGAAGGAATGAAACTCTATTTGAATTGCTTAAAGAAAAAAATAGAACTGCAGCCAATTGATTTAGGTCTCGATATAAAAATGTCTTATATTTGTTTATTTAATCTAGATTTATTTGATTGAGATGAAATCAATTTTTTTTTTAAAGTTTTATCTTATTTCACCATTTTCTCTATAATTCAACTAACACAATTAAAAGATAAAAACAACAATCATTATTATATTTTTTTAATAAAATTTATTGTTTATTCACTTACATATTTTTAATACCAATCACTAATGCTCTATTATTTTATATTACTGTAGTTTTAATTATTATAGTTTTATTCACTATCAATTTACAAATCAAACCAAGCTTCTGAAAAGAAATAATTTTTTTATTTATTTTTATATATTTGACAATTTATTTTTCTTAAAAAAATCTTATATCCACTCTCAGCCTTAATATTTCATTTTTTTCATGGAAATTTTGACGAATGGGAAAGAAAATTGGATAAAGTATATATGTGCTACAATTTTTGAAATATTTTGCATAAAAGTTAACATTTTTAAAAAAGATTATACACATATACATAAAAGATACACTTTTATTGCAAAATGACTTACTATTGTCTCTTTTAAGTTTATTTATAATTTATAACAGGTCTATACTATCAAATCTCGTTACATGACTAAAAATTATATTTTTATATATCAAACATAAACTATGTCAACTAAACATTGACATCTAAAATTCACATAAAATATACACCCTCAACTTCTCAAATAAATCTCAATTCACCCCCAAATTCACGATCTTCTGAAATCCTAGAAATCTCCCAAGCAATATCCTTAGAAATCGTCCCGATTGGAACAATCCTAGTTGTCCTCTTATGCCAGATCATCAATATTGCGGCCGCTGCCAATGACGTCCTCTTGGAGCCTGAGAGCTTCGGCCTCTTTTCGAAACACCTCCTCGAAATCGACATCATCCTCACCGAGCTCCAGTCCTGCCACCTCAGCGACTCTCCCATCGCCCGCCTAGCCTTTGAGTCCCTCAAGTTTGACGTCAAGAAAGTTGATGCCATCATCGACAAACAAGTACAAAAACTGGGTGCGCTTCTACCTCCTCCTCTAGTGTCGCCACATGTAAAGTTGGTTCGAGACGTCAGCCACGAAATCAGAATCTCTTTCTAAGTTGTCTCCATTGTCAGCGTTGAGACCCTCTCGGGAATCTCCAGCCGCTATCAAAAGGCTTCAAGATGAGATGCACCGGGCCCAACACGAGGTCTCATGCTCTCGTGTCGAGATCGTAGATAAACTGAAGCAAGGCCTCACGATCGACCTAGATTTCACGAACGATATGCTGAAGAAGATTGCGCGGGCCGTGGGCATGCTAATCGAGCCAGATGAGATTTATGGGTTTAAGAGAGAGAAAGTGGAGGTCGAGGGTCCAATATAAAGGCTGGTTGCTGTTAGTGTTATATACTGAAAGCTTGACTTTGCATGATATTACACATTTACCCTTTATGAATGAGAATCATGTTAGATTAAACAAGTTCTACATTCTGTTGTTCTGCACTTAGATAGTGTGGGTCGTCATCGGGCGAACCGAAGATCACTCTATCAGTTACTTGCGAACAAGAATAGTTGTTCACAACCTAGATGGACATGAACACCCCATCCGAACGGTTGTAGTGTCAACTGTACAGTTTGTCTTGACTGATTAGTTGTACTAGTACATTTATATATTGAACAGGATCCCAGAGAGGAGAAGTTCATTTTATACTGATCGTCGTAAATGAACTAGGCCTCGGTTAATTACTGCGTTCTCTTAACCCGTAAGATATTAAACATGCAGATATATATAATATATATTACTTTGATTCACATGGGTGAGGTTCAGTTCGCTGGATTAATATTCCTACTGCTTTGGGTAATATTATTATATATAGGATGTGCTGTTAGGATATTTACGGTCACCATGTGCGTTAGTTTGATAATGTCCCCAGAGTGAGTTCATGAAGGATTGTTATGCTAAACCCTGCAGGTGGATTAAGTTCCGACATAATAAGAATGTGATGAACGAGCGTTAGCTTTGGTGAAATAATAATAAATTAATTAATTCTTGATTGTCAGTAATCGAATTAATTAATGGACATTATATTAAACGTGGGGAGGTAAATCGAGTAATTATTATTGGAGTCTCAAATGTAATTTGGGCTAGGAAGAGGGAGTGCAATAATATAATGTTGGTGGCCCATTAATATTATTTAATTAATTAGCAGAGTGGGCTTGGCCCACAGTTAGTCTAATTAATTAAGGAGCCATTTTCCTAATCTTCTTAGGGTCCCTACTGTAGCTCTATATATACATCATTAAGCTCATGAGAAGGGATGAGAAGTCTCATTCACACGAGATATACGCCTCACACGCCTCTCTCTCTCTAGATCTCATTCGAGCTTTATCTTCTTCTTGTTGCTCCACTGATACAAGTTGAAGAAGGGTGTATTGAGTAATACAGTAGAAGATCTGTAGGTAAACTGAGACGAATATATTTTGACCTACAGAACTAACCGGAAGTCCGATTGAGACGTACAGTATACCCAGACGACCGTCTCGACGAGTGCTTTCCATCGCCGCTGACGTCGTCGGAATCCGATGCCGCACCCACCCTCACGCGCCGCCGGAAGGAGCCTGACTGCAAAAATTCGTTTTGATCTGTTTGCATCCGTTTGATCCGATTTTGATCTGATCTTGTTCGTGCAATCAAAGACGTGATTTGCGGTCAATCAATTGCGGTCAACCGTTCGTGGTCAGCCAGATCTACATAAATTTTAAGCCGTAAGTTCTCTACGTCAAACCTTTAGATCCGTTGCGCATAGGTTTACGTTTGCTATTGAATTCGTGATTTGTACATAACGAGATCCTCACAGATCCCAACAGTTGCATCAGTGTAGTGGATTGAGTGGGACTCGCAAGACGACACGTCGCAATTGGAGGGGGTGCCGTCAAGGGCTAGGGTTTGGATCTGATCGGCGGTGGAGAGGGGGTGGTGGATTTTTGCTGCTTTTGGGTGGAGGAGTGGTGATGTCAGTTTTTGGATTTGGATGTGCTGCAGGGATTGGGAATTAGGGTATTGACATAAACATAAAGTTTTTGTAGGAATTCGGTACAATTGTAATTAAAAATTATGACTAGTATATGTACAATTATTTAAGAAGAGCTATTGTATATATATAAAGGAGCCAAAAAAATTAAAGATTGTGTATTACTAGGCTATGTTTGGTTAACCTAGCTGATAAACTAGCTTATAGCGTTTTAAGTGAATTTTCGAGCTTATAGTTGATAGCTTATGACTTATGGATAAAGCGCTAGCTTATATGATAAAAGTTTTTAGTAAAATTAGCTTATAAGATAGTTAAAATAAAAATTTCAATGGGCTTATTTGAAAATCTACCCAACAAAGCGTATGAGATAAGCTCGAGCTTTTTAAAAAAACTCATCCTACCAAATCAAGCTTATATAAATATAGGAAACTTATAAGCTAATCAAATAAGTTATAAGTTAGCTTATATTTTTACCAAACACTTCCCTAATCCAATCATGTAGTTCCTTTTGAGTTATTAAAAGGCGAATTTGCATGTCTCCTTAGTCTAAAGCTAAACTAGTACAACACCCGTGTACTACACGGGTGATTAAAAGAAATTATGTTTCACAAGAGGTAAAATTACAATAATTTAAGTAATAATTTAAAAATAAAAATAGTAAATAAAAAATAAAATAAAAACAGACGTAATATTATTTCAAATTTTAAAAAACTTCTCTGTATACAACATTATTAGTTCGATTTACAATATTCTCATTATTGCCGCAACAAAGAATTTGCGACGTTAATATCACATTTCTTCTGAATGTGATGAAATGTGATAATCAACAGTAAAAAATTGTAGATCAAATATGTTATTTCCTAATTTTAGTATGTGCGAGTGGTTGACAAATGTCAATGTCATCTGTGGATGATAATAAACCTGCAAGTAAGAATTCCTATAGAATTTCAACTCCGTTGGCAATACTCTGTGTACTTGGGTGTTTTAGATGTTGGATTTTCAATTTTCACTGTGGCAAAGGAAGAAGAGAGAGGCACAACACGTTTGCCTTCTGTAACTCTTTAGACAACAGCTGGCCTCGTTTTTGTTTGGAAGGGACTGAGAACACTTTAACCTGAAGTTACAAAGAAAACCCTTATCTCTCAAGTCTTAATCGAGCTCTTTTATGAGGTCATACCTCACATACCGAGCTATAAGACACTTTAACTGGAGTCGAGGGTCATGTTCGAAAGAGATATTCTTTTCAATATATTGCGGATAAATTAGATCTTCACATTTTAAGACCAATAGGTTTCACAGTTTATTGTGAAACCAATTTTAGATATGGGCACATGAAGGGGGCTCATCTTTCCCCATAACTATTCCTATGAGACAAATTCTAGATGATGTATAATAAGGCAAACATTTTAAACTTTCATTCTCATTGTCCCAGGTATGTTTCTCACAAGTAGTAAGAGAATGTCTTCCAATCACAAGGGCAATTGCTTAAACAATTCCGTGTAATACATATGAATTACTTACTAAAACATGAAGATTCTTCGTTTAATTGCTAAACTGTACGAATCACTTTTTCTTGTGTTAGTAAACACTCACCATTGTCATGGACAAAACCTACTAACTAAAATTGCAGCAACTTATGTACAACCAAATACCAATGGCAGTATCTCAACAGTTTATGTAATTAAGTGTTCACTTCATGTGATTCATGTGCAACCAAATACAAATGGCAGTATCTTAACAGCAACTTATGTACAACCAAATACCTAAAACGGGGGATTTTTATTGATTCATGTGATTCTATATCATCTATTAATCCCCAAAATTACTACAATAAAAAATTTAATAAAGATGAAAAACAAAGGATTATATTAAAATTAATCAAATTATCTGTACAGCAAATAGAAGAAAGTACAAAAGGGCCAAGAGATTCGCACCATTAATCGCGAGGAAGGAACCGGTTTTTGCTTAAGGCCAAGGCGAACGTGGAATCTGGCAAAAGGGCAAGTCGATATTCTTCATCAACATTAGCCGGCACGCCTTAAGATCGCTTCCTAATGGCTCAAAGCATTATCTTCCTTTTCAGAGTCCAGCATTCGATCCTTTATTGACATAGAGTGCTAGGATTTGAAGGAAGAGAAAATGGGAATTCACGAAAATCAACTCAGTTTGTGAGAGAGAGAACTGTGCGTTTACTCTCGAAAAATGAAAAAATCGAGCTCAATTCAATTGAACCCAATTGCTAGGGTTTATCAAATTGGGGAAAATCAACTAACCAACATAATCAAAGAGGCACCTTACTGAAAGTGGGATGAAGAGTTCTAATTTTGACAGAAAATTCAATTGGAACGTCACTAATTACTTGGTGAAACTTTGGCGAAAAGGAAGAGGAAGAGGAAGATGACATACACCATTTGGAAAGAAAATAATGGAATATTGATGGTTCCGTTTTTTACTCTGTTAGCTTGTGTAATATTACAAATAAATATGCCTTGATTGTTGTTAGATGTAAGATTACAAAATAATTGGAGGGTTATATCAGTCAAAGTGTTATAAAATTACCTAAGTTAATTTTTTAATATATATATGGAATGTCCGAACCTAAATTTATAGAATAAAAATAACATTAATTTTATCCAAACCAAATACCGAAGCATGAAATTTCGCCAAGTAATATTCTGAAGCATGCGAGCCCACGATTTAGGCTCAGCACGTTCTGAATTAATAGAACCAAATACCGAAGCATGAAATTTCGCCAAGTAATATTCCGAAGCATGCGAACCTACGATTTAGGCTCAGCACGTTCTGAATTGATAGATAGGGGGGATATTAGCATATATATATTCTTGTGAAAGTATTTGCATATGTACACGAAAATATGCAGCATAATTAGGGGATTACTAGCTAATTAAATGGTGGCATAAAAATGGTATAGTTCTCCTTTCTCATCCATCAGCTACGGGGAAAATCGTAACAAAATAAAACTAGGATTTTCTTTCACATGGTTTCCTCTCTCATTCGTTAGTTACAGGGAAAATTGTAACAAAATAAAATGTAAGGATCTTCTCTCACATGGTAAGCATTACACCCAAAACAAACAAAATTCGTGTCGTATATTATTTAAGTTGTAATTCCATTGATGTTTGGGGACCTGGATAATAACATCAAAGATTTTTTAAAGGGGCGTATGACCTTTATGGAATTCGCGTGTACAACAGTCGAGGAAATGGTTGAAAATGCTTTATATACAGAAGATATTTTGAATATAAATCAATCTAGCCATTCTTTATTTTTCTTTTAGATTATATACAAAAGATATACATAAGATATAGTTATCATATACAGAAGATGATAAACCAATCTAGTCAATATATTCAGGATATATACTAAAAACGCATTATATATATCAAATTCCCTATCAATTGAATAAACACAAAAAAATACAGTTCCCGACAGCACCGAAATTGGAACCGCCGCCCCTCCAACGTCACCCTCATCTATCCATTGAATAAACAAAAAGATCACATCTTTTATTCAAACCTACACCTAGAAAACAAAATCTCTCAAATGAAGCACAAATTGATCTTTTTAAGTCGACGGCTTAATTGGATCGGATTAAAGCCACCGGAGTTGCCGACTGCAGCCGTTGAGCCGCACCTCCATCAGTGGTCGTACATCGACGGTGTCGTCATCAGGTACGTAGTCGTGTCGCTTGATAGAGCTCCTCGGTCCAATCGCCACGCCGCTCTCAAATCTCTGGTCACGTCGTCGCTATTTGTNGGTTGGGTGGTCTACGAATTGAGAAAACAATCCAAAAAAGAAAAAAATAAAATAAAAATAGAGGAAATTGAGTGATACTTGGCCGCCAATGTCTGTCTCGCCCTTGTGGGATTTGAGCCGTCGCCATATTTGTTGTTGTCTGTGAAGAAATAGATAGAGAAGAAAGAAGAAGAACAGAGAGAGGTGGGGTTGTGATGGGAACTAAATATAAGAGTAATTATTAATTAAACTAATTATAAATTAAACATTCGTAAATTTAAAAATAAAAGTAGAAAGTAGTAAGTTTTAAATAAAAACATGAAGCGTTCATCTGTAAGTTTTTTCTTATTAAAAAACACACTTTTCCTTTGGATTGTATGTTTTAAATTGGACCTTACAAGAATCCTTTATTGGGCCGGTCCATAAACAAACTATCTAATTGGCCCCATTATCCATTGGACATGCATCTCAGGTCTATCGGCTGCTTTCCACTCTATCCGACTTGGCTTGTCACCCACTGATTTGTATATCCGGTTCATCCTCTCACCGTCGACCATTTTATACACCTGAGATCTGTCTCTTTCTAAAACCTCCATAGCTTCTCTCCTAGACCGAGATTTCAATTTTTGATGACTGAAAATCCCTCAATTCCCACAAAAAATCTAAGTTGATTGACGTCACAGAAATGTCCACATTTCTCCATCAAAGGCCACTTCACAGCCCCTCATTTGATTCTCGAGAGCTATCACCTCGATCCCGCCACCAGAAGCCCTCCGCCTCTCTCCTCAGCCGCATCCCCGCCGCCCTCGTCCTCCTCCTCTCCCTGCTAATAGTCCTCGGCGTGGTTTTCCCCTACGTGCGGTCCCCCAGTTCCCTGCTTTCGCTCAGTTTCTGGAATTCCGATTCCAAGTGGCGGACGTATACTCTCCCTGATGCGGCCGCTTATGTGGCGAAGAACAACACGCTGATCGTGTGTGCCGTGAGCGAGGCTTACTTGCCGTTTCTGAACAACTGGCTAATCAGCATCGCGCGTCAGAAGCAGCAGGACAAGGTTTTGGTGATTGCAGAGGATTACGCCACGCTTGATAAGGTGAACGAGCGGTGGCCGGGTCACGCGGTTTTGGTGCCTCCTGCTCTGGAAGCGGCAGCAGCTCATAAGTTTGGGTCTCAGGTATTGTTGTGGATTTTTCTTTTTTGGGTGATCTGATGTTGTAGTTATTTTTTTTTTTCAATTCTCAACAATCCATTATCACGAACTTGATCTAGACTAGTTTGGGAATAGTAGAGTATCGTGTATTAATTTCGAATGTTCGATTATACAGAGTGATATTCAACTTGATGAAGGGTCCATTGAGATAGAAATAAAGGGCCATTGTATGCTATTTCTTTTAGTTTGAGGCTTAAAAGGCAGTGCACTTTGTTTTGGCTTATCTCTAGATGGATTAGTTGTTTAAGTTGATTAAGGGATGTTCTTTATTATGATTGGTCAGGAAAGGACGTGTGTTGGTTAGTGTTTGTGGTGAAATAGTTAATAGGTTCGCAAAGCATAAGTTGCTAATTCTTGAGGAATCTTGATTTGCCGTGTAATTAGGACTAATGATCTTCCCTTTATTATATATTTCTTGTTATTCAGCTGCATTGGTGTATTATGCAGGGTTTCTTCAATTTTACAGCCAGAAGGCCTCGCCATCTCCTGCAAATTCTGGAGCTGGGCTATAATGTTATGTACAATGATGTAGATATGGTCTGGTTGGCAGATCCCTTTCCTTACCTGGAAGGCGAGCACGATGTATATTTCACTGATGACATGGCTTATGTAAGTGTCCACATATTGCTTATTATGCAGATTCAGAGTCAACAACCATAAATTTTCTCATGAAATACTTTTCTCATTATGGCTTGTAGAATGTTTTTCTTTGTATGGTCTTCTTTTATCCAGTCATTTGTTTGTAGCCTTTTGACATTTTAGTTGGAAGGTTATTTGTAGACCGAACTAAAATATGTATATGTCTATACGAAGGCCTTGAAAATAACTACCAAATTGTCCATGATATCCAATTGCCATTATGGCTTGTGGAATGTTTTTCTATGTATAGTTGTCTTTTATCCAGTCATTTGTGTGTAGCCTTTTGACATTTTAGTTGGAAGGTTATTTGTTGACCGAACTAAAATATGTATATGTCTATACCAATGCCTTGAAAGTATTTAACTACCAAATTGTCCAATATATCCAATTGCCAAAAAGAATTGATAAGAGGGTTAAATGCTCGAGCTGGGAACAACAAAAAATGGCACTGTATAGTTGTAATCTCATTTACTTGTATTTAAATCAATATGATGGTAATAAATATGGAGCAAGACCTCTGCTGTAAGATGCTACGGGAAAAGAAAAAATCAGACTGCATGACTGAATAATGCTATTTTCTGTATCAGTTATGGCTTCAAAACTACTATTGAACCCATAGGATATATTCTAAATCCAGCCAGATCTAATATATTTTCTTAACCTTCTATTTTGAAACTTTCGGGCCTCTTCACTTCATGTGCACTGTCTTAACAGAACCGTTTTTTCTTTTTATCAATTCTGAATTTCCTTTTTTCTCTGCTGCCATTGAAACTTCCAGGTGAAACCTCTTGATCATTCTCACGAGTTGCCACCTCCAGGGAAAAAAGGGCGTACATACATTTGTAGCTGCATGATTTATTTGCGTCCCACCTATGGAGCAAAATTACTTATGAACAAGTGGATTGAAGAACTGCAGGCCCAACCTTGGTCTAGAGCAAAGAAAGCCAACGACCAGCCTGCATTTAATTGGGCACTGAATAAAACTGCTGGACAGGTAACTTATTCCAGATAGCTTTTTCGTTTAACATTACAGGTACAACAATATTGATTGCCATCCTAATTACAAATTTATGTTAATCTTTGTATTGCATACTTCAGCTCAAATGATTTGAAGATAAAATTACACATTAGTGCACTATATCCTTCAAAAATTAAACCCCCCTTGCAAGGGAGCATATTCGAAAGGTTGTCAGTATTTGTTATGTGTTGACAGATAGTTGTTGTTCTTTTAAAGGGTAAGTAGTAACTCAATGGTAATTCTGTTGTTAAACCATTAGTTAAGATGCCTTTTACTTATTATATATAATGCATGAGACCTAATTTCAGGTGGATGTGTACCTTCTACCTCAAAAGGCATTCCCCACAGGTGGTTTATACTTCAAGAACAAAACATGGGTAAAGGAAACCCAGGGAATGCAAGTTATCATTCACAATAACTACATAATTGGTTTCGAAAAGAAGACTAAGAGATTTCGCGAGTACGGTCTCTGGTTGGCGGATGATTACGCCTCTGAGTCCCCACTTGGCCGATTGTAGTCATTTGGATGAGCCTTTATTCAACAACAAAAAACATTTTTCCACACAACAGTCGAGCATTTTCTGACAAAATCAACAATTCTGGCTTGTTTGTGACTTAAGGCTTGAGAACGATGTGGATGGGCATAGATAGGCCGAGTATACGGTGCATAAATTATGAGGTCAAAGTTGATATAGATAGCCGAATTTTGTTAGTTTGCTTTTATTGTATAATACGGGTTCTTCTTCAGCAACTCAACTGGGAAATTGCATAATGTACATGATGCAACTATGAGATAACTTTAGCATCATCCACTGTTCTAACATTTTTCCTTTTGCGGCATTTGAGGGCTTATGCTAGCGGTTTATTAAATTCTTCATTTTGCTTGCATACGATGGGTGATCTGCCCTCAGATTTATCCTTCATGTAGAAATATTGCGACTAGCCTTTTGTGTTCACTTTGCTATTAGCTCTCAACAGTTCAATATATCAGATGGGTTTGAGTGTTTCTGGAGTTTCAACTGTCGTGTTTGATTTTCAGGATAAGCCACATAAAGAGTTGTTAAACGAAACAAGTTGCTCATGGGCTCGACTCTTTAGGGCTCAAGATAAGGGTTTTTATGTAATTTTTTTAAAAAAATATTAGCTCGACTCATTAAGAGTGATAAACTAGTTGAGTTCGGGTTCGTTTAGTTAACAAGTCAGGTTCGGCTTGGCTCATTTTCACGTCTATCAGCATACCAGGGAACATTCATTTTCTTTGCCCAGTTCCTTTTGTTACCGTTACAACTGCACTGTGGAACCCAAAAAAGGATCAGTTTTGTCTTAGCCAACTTTTGAAGATAGTCAAAATTCAAATGATCCTTTTTCAGTCCAAATCTTATTATCGATTTCCTCAAATCTTGTAATGTACAAAAGGCATTTTATACATATGATTTTTTTACGCATGCTATGCCTTGGTGGAAATATACCAGTCCATTTCCGTCTATAGTCCGTCCTGACCTGTTGAGCGACCCGTGGCCAGTCAAGTCAACCCACCCCCTCTTGTATAGATTGTTGTGTATCAAACCTTTCAAAAGTCATAATTTGACAATTTTGAGATATATAACATATAACAGGAGAATATATGGAATTATTGTGTGATGAGAATCTATGAATATGTTATTCAGACCACTCCTGCTTACGGATTAGACGAGTACAATCAAAAATTAAATTTTTTATTGTTCGTCCAATTACTATATACCGGTTTACGGATTAGACGAATCGAATCTAATATAATTCTATTATTGTTTGGGAGACTATTACAATATGTCAAACTTACAAATTAAAAGAATCGAACATGAATATATTATTATTTGCAGCACTACTAGAATATGTTGCATTAGTAACGATTTTTTGCAACGGATTAATATTGGGAGACTATTATATGGAAGTTTACAAATTAGACGAGTCTGAATGTTGATGATATTTGACCACTTTAGGATCAAAATGGAATATTTATTAATTAGAGGTAACTTTTTAGTCCGGTTGAATCAACTTTTAAAAAAGACATCCAAATTGATAATATTTTGGAAGTGACAAAACTGCACCAATGGATATTAGGCGTTGGATCGTGAGATTATGGCACCATATGGTGCCCATATGGGCGCCATAGAATTTCTGGTATAAGCACCCCTTAATTTGTAGTAGGACAATTATTATAAGACAACTATCATATTATTTGTTATAGAAAAAACAATCATCTTACATATTCTTATTAAAATTTAGGTTTTAAATTTGGTAATTTCTTAAGAAAATACACAAACCTAGTGTGTACCCTGTGCGATGCACGGGAACAATATTAAATTAACAATATTATAAATAGACCTCAAGTTTGAGTCACTCAATGGCGGAAGTAGAAACTACTATTGCTCCTATTTAAAAAGAGGAAGAAAAAAAATAATTATAAATTAAAAAGGAGTGTAAACAAATTATAAATTAAAGATTCGGGGTCAAACAATGTAAAATTATTTTGTATAAGAGAATATGAAAAAATTTGATTACACACCATCTCAAAATTATTATTATACTTTTTTGTATGGTTAGCTTATAATATTTGTAAAAATATTAGTAATTAGACCGATGAAAATTAGCTTCTTAAAGTAGATAATGGATTTCTAGTAGTAATTATGAATTGGTTTCTATTTTCCTTTTTTTTAAAGATAATGGATTTCTAGTAGTAATTATGAATTAGTTTCTATTTTATTTTATTTTTCAAATCTGTATAGATAAGGGATGAGATTTTTTAAACACGTGAGACGTATGCAATGGGATTTTGTAACAGAAGAGATAAGCTCGTGTAGATTTATACTAAAAATAGGAAAAAGAAAAACAAATATTTATTGTCAAACAACGGTTTTGATAAACTAAAAAACAGGAGAAACAAATCTTTACAAATTAATGAGCCGATTTTTTTGCCTATTTAGATTTGTCCAACAATTACTATATGTAGGATATATTTAATGATTTTGGCAGGAAAAAGTTTCTAAATTTGTAAAAAGGTTATTCTTTTTATATAATGATAAATGATATAAGAGAAAGTGAAATAATATTAATTAATTTTGAAGATTTTACTAAGTCTACTTGCACTTAAACAACATAATTTACTTCTCGAAATTTGCCTATCAATTATATATTATTTTTCAAATTTACTTATCACACAAACTATTTAAACTATAGTAGATTTTCAAAATACAAATTGATGGAATGATTAAGGAAATATATAATTAACGCACATGTATACTTATTTGTGAAATTGTCTTTACGGTGAAATTTTATTTTGGATGGATTATTTTTAAAATATTTATACCATGAATTTTATTATTTCATACAATATTTAGTACTATAAAATTAATATTGAATGTCGTTTAACAAGCTAAATTCATACATGCATGTGGGCAACTGCCCCACATGCAAAGGACGAATTAGCCGTTCAACAATTATAGTCTATAAAATTTTCGGTACACAATGACATAAATGTGAATAAATGAAGACCACGCACACACTTAAAAATCCTACAAATGAAGCATTAAACACAGTCTATGCAAGATTTGGACAAATGGAGATCACGCAGTGGTTGTTGCTTCAGTGAAAATCATTGAGGCATTATTAACGAAATTCAGGGGCGGATATAGGTTTAAGATTGGGGGATTTTGTCCCCCCAAATTTTTTATTTTTTAGTACATATATGATAAGTACTACATATTATTATGTACATAAACTCATACAACTACATTAAAATAATAATTGTATTACTCTTTCTATTAATAATTCAACTACAAATTATACTTTTTTTACACTTTTGTACTCCCTCCATTTTGAAATATAAGGCATTTAAGGTTATTGCACAAATATTAAGGAGACATTAATTAATGAATAAATTGACTAAATTAACCTTATTTACTCTAATCACAACCACTCCACACTTCCTTAATTTCAATACAATGAGGGTATATTTGGAAAAAAATGCAAAAATTTGTCTTGATTTTTGAGCGCGCCTTATATTTCAAAAAAAATGAGAAATCTTTATACGCCTTATATTTCAAAATGGAGGGAGTATAACATATTTTCTAATTTAAATATATTAAATGTGTTAGAACATCACTTGTGAGTCCTTCGAAAAGCCTAATACCAACTGGGCTGGGTGACGGGTACGACATTACACGGTCCAATAGAACCGGCTCTGGTACCATGACAGAAACTGAAGGAAAACGGGTGCGGTCCCACTAACATGAAGCGCACCATGACAAGGGAAAAGCCCATATGAAAATATATGAAAACATAAAAATTTGGTAATTTTTTAAAAAGAAGTCCATATAAGATATGCTTAATGGAAAGAAAAAAATATCAAAACTATTAGTATTGAGCCAATCATTAATGAAATTCATGAGTCGAGAGAGTGTTCAATCTAAATTTGTTATTGTCAAGGTTTGAAACTTTATAATGCATATTGCTATATTATTATATATAATTTTATAATACAATTTTCTATTTTTTATGTACGTTAATTTAAACCTATAATTTTAAAAAAATATATAGCCGCCCTCAAAATAAATTTCTGGATCTGCCCTTGACGAAATTTATAGCACCCTTTTATATGACCTCTCTCTCAACCTCGAGTTAGAGAGAATGCTTTTTGGTTCTTTGACAACTCAGAGCATGATTGTTTGTTAGACAGGATAACCGCATTTAACATCTCTAAAATTTGTGTTTGTTATCATTGTTTGTGGCTCGCAAGACTGAGCTCCGAAGCTAAAATAGGCTAATACTAAGAGAGTCTCCGAGTGACACGCTCCATGTTTTGGACTCTTGTGTTAAACCGGGAGATGTAATCTCTTAAGCTCTTGTTGGCTTGTTGAATGTTTGACTAACTCCTTGGGAATCATACACACGTGTGATCCCTCAAAATGCATGCGAAACGCTGATCAAAATTGGTCCCAATTGTGAATGGATAATGAGTGGTACCACCGTTGTGCTTTAGGCCCTAAAGTGAGGATAAAAGTTCGGCACGGAAGAGCATCATTGGCGTTGTGACGATCCATCCAGAAAGTATACTATCTCAGGTGAGTGTCGCGATCTGTATCGCCATAGTATAAACCTATTTGAGAGACCTTGATCTTACGAGGAAGGATTTCTGTTAAGATATAAGAATGAAGTGGCGAAGTAGGATTAGAGAAGGCGCCTTCAGAAGATAAAGGCGGTTAAAGGTGACCTAATTGGTTGTTTCAAGTGTCTGCCGAGGTTTTAGCTCGACGATCTCCTCACATTCTTTTCAAATGATCCTCTTGGTAATTTGCTGACGGAGATCTTAAGGTTTACTACCCAATCGATCGAACATTTGAACTCATGTGGGCCTGGCTATCGCCCATACTTTCGCGATCTTTGATATGGTTAGGATGATTGGGGTGTTGTTTTTCCTTTCCTTTATCAAGGGTCAGGTCTTTCCTGACATTAGACCTCGTGATATTAGAGACTATGATTTTGGTCAAGGACTTGATGAGCAGTGTAAGGGTGAGGCTTTTCAAGATGATATTTGTGTAAGATTTGAGAGAAAAGGTTAGTAAGGCCCTTGGATAAAATGAAAATTTGGAAAATGTCGACAACACTAGGATGGGCAGGAGTACTGTCATCAAGCTGAATTAGAGTATGAGCAGAGTTAAACATTTTTTGAGTCTGGCTATGACAAGGTAGATTCATTGAAAAAGTCAATTGCACCCTTCCTCTAGCACCAATTTATTGACGAGCGATCGTCAACGGTTCTTAATTGAGGGATAAAGTGAGGTGCAAATTTGCTTTTATGAAGGACAGATATGAGTTATACTGTTTTGATGTTGAAAGAGAGAAAATAGTAAAACACACAGAATTTCGCCAATCTATTGGGAGATCGGTAAGGAGACTGATTTGTCTTAAAGCCTGACTAGCTAAAAGTATGTGGTTATAGGTGTAGCTCTTGTTTGAGCTTTTTTCGTAACTGTACTGATGTGT